GGCTGGGGGTGGTGAGTCTGGGGGTGCCCGCTCTCCTCGTCTGGCTACCCCCCCCGGGTTCCCACCTCTGCCGTCTTCGCCGCCTCTGCAGCCTACTACTGTGGACAGTGAAGCAGAGACTGAGGGTGCTGGGACTGAGGGTGCTGAGCCTGAGGGTGCTGGGTCTGAGGGTACTGAGACTTTGGGTGCTGACTCTGGGGGTGCTGAGACTTCGGGTGCTGACTCTGGGGGTGCTGCGAGTCCTTCTGGAGGTCCAGGAGCTGGAGGTACTGGAGCTACTAGGCCTGGAGGTCCTATTGGAGGTATTAGAGGTACTACTGGTGCTGAAGGTACTAAAGTTGCTGCTGGTGCTGGAGGTGCTGGAGCTGGAGGTACTAGAGGTGCTTCTGGTGCTGGAGGTGCTAGAGCTACCACTACTGGAGGTACTGGAGCTGGACAGCCACCGCAGCCTGCTCTACTTGAGACGCTCTCGCCGCAGGCGATTCGTGCGTGGGTCGTTCTGCGAGGCAGTCCTGGTGGTGGAGGGTACGGTCCTGCTGGTGCTGGAGCTACTAGTCCAGGAGGTGCTGCTGGTGCTGGAGGTGCTGGAGGTACTACTGGAGGTACTAGAGGTGCTGCTGGTGCAGGAGGTACTGGAGCTGCTGGTGCTGGGGGTACTGGAGCTGCTGCCGGTGCTGGAGGTACTGGAGCTGGTGGCACTGGAGGTGCTGGTGCTCCTGGTGCTGGAGCTGCGGGAGCTGCTGACCCTGGAGGTGCTGGTACTGCTGGTGCTGGAGGCGTTGGAGCTGGAGGTACTGGAGGTGCTGGAGCTACTGGTCCCGGAGGTGCTCGTACTGGAGGTGCTGGAGCTGCCGGAGCAGGTGGTACTGCTGGTGCTGGAGGTGCAGGAGGTGCTACTGGAGCTGCTGCCACAGGAGGTACTGGAGGTACTACTCGTGCTGGAGGCCCTGGAGCTAGAGCTGGAGGCACTGGAGGTGCTGGAGGTACTACTGGTGCTCGAGGTGCTGGCGCTGTCGGAGCTCGTGGTGCTGGAGGTGCTGGTGCTACTGGTGCTGGAGGTGTTGCTGGGGGTACTGGAGGAGCTGCTCGTGCTGGAGGTACGGGAGCTACTGGTGCTCTTCGCCACCTTCTCAGTCTTCCGCCAGGTGCTACTCACTTCCCTGTGGCAGGTACTACTCCTCCGTTGCTGTGTCCGCCAGCGGACCAGTCACAGCCACCGCTGCTACCACACTCCCCACTGCCTGCTCCTGCTCCTTACACTGCGGTGTCAGAGTCCCTAACTGAGCGTCGAGAGCCTTAGACTCGTGCTTCCACCCCTGAGCATCGAGAGCCTGAGTCTAGCTTTGACCTTGAGCCTGAGCCTAGAGCTGCTGTCCGTGCTCGTGTTCCTCGTGTTCGTCGTCCGCGTGCTCCGGCTGTCCCCGGCACTCACGATATGACACTCCGTCCTTCCTCTGTTCCTCAGCGTGTTGTACTACCGTTACCTCCTGCGTCCTCTCTGCCTGACGTTGCTGACCCTCCGTCTGACCTTGCTCGTGCGTCCAGTCCGACTGTTACTCGCCTTCTTGCTACGGTTGTGACGGACCCTACGTTCTCGTCTCCTGCTGCGTCTGCCCTAGTAGCTGAGCTTGTTGACTTTGCTGCTGTGTACCGCCTAGACTACCTTGCGAGTCTTGTCTCTGACCATCTCCCTGCCTGTCCTCCGTCCGTCGGGGGTGAGACTGCTCTTGGCTGTACTGCCCTTGGCTGTGACGTTCTTGAGGACAGACAGGAGGAGCTGGAGTGCCTTGCTGCCGCTTCACCCCATCACGCGACCATGCTGCTTGCCCCTGAGGGAGACCCGGATGCACTTGACATCCCCACCCCGCGCTCCTACTGGGAGGCGATTTCGGGTGAGTACTCCTCTCAGTGGCAGACAGCCATGGACGCAGAGATGGCTTCCTGGAAGTCCACAGGCACCTACGCCGACGAGGTTCCCCCACCTGGGGCGAACATCGTCAGTGGCATGTGGATTTTCAGGGTGAAGCGGCCGCCGGGTTCTCCGCCTGCCTTCAAGGCACGTTACGTTGCTCGAGGCTTCAGTTAGCGTGAGGGGGTCGACTTCTTTCAGACCTTCTCCCCCACCCCGAAGATGACCACTCTTCGGGTGTTGCTACACGTTGCAGCTCAGCGTGACTACGAACTGCACTCCCTCGACTTCTCGACAGCTTTCTTGCAGGGTAGCCTTCACGATGCCATCTGGTTGCGCCGTCCACAGGGCTTCACTGGGTCGTTTCCTGAGGGTACCCAGTGGAGCCTACGACGACCAGTGTACGGCCTGCATCAGGCGCCCCGTGAGTGGCACGACACACTGAGGACGACACTTGCGGCTCTTGGGTTTGCTCCTTCGACTACTGACCCGTCGCTGTTTCTACGCACCGACACTACTCTGCCGCCGTTCTACATCCTCGTGTACGTCGACGACTTGGTTTTTGCTACTGCTGACACTGAGGCACTAGCCCTAGTGAAGGCAGAGCTGCAGGAGAGACACACCTGCACTGACCTGGGTGAGCTGCGGAGCTATCTTGGCTTGCAGATCACCCGGGACAGTCCACGGCGCACCATCACCCTCACTCAGTCACACATGGTGCACCAGGTCCTTCAGCGCTTCCGCTTCACTTGGTCCTCGCCACAGCCCACTCCTCTGTCTACCGGCCACTCGCTCTCAGCTCCACCTTCGGACGAGTCCGTAGAGCCGAGTGGTCCGTACCCAGAGCTTGTGGGTTCCCTTATGTACCTGATGACGTGCACACGACCTGACCTCGCGTACCCTCTCAGCCTCCTGGCTCGCTACGTGGCACCTGGACGACACCGAAAGGTGCACTTTGATGCTGCGAAGAGGGTACTGCGTTACTTGTGCAGCACATTGGGCATGGGGCTCGTGCTTGGAGGACGGGGTTCGGTGGTCCTCACAGGACACTCTGACGCTTCTTGGGCCGACGACCAGACGACTCAGCGGTCGTCACAGGGTTACACCTTCAGTCTTGGCTCTGGTTCTGTCTCGTGGAGGTCCACTCGTTCTTCTTCTGTGCTTGGTTCCAGCTGCGAGGCCGAGATCTACGCTGGGGCCATGGCTGCACAGGAGCTACGCTGGCTGACCTACCTGCTGACCGACTTGGGGGAGCGGCCTCGTTCTCCACCAGTTCGGTACGTCGACAACAAGGCCATGACTGCCTTGTGTCGGTAGCAGAGACTGGAGCACAGAACGAAGCACATTGCTCTTCGTTTTTTCTTGCTCGCGAGTTGCAGCAGCGTGGTCAGGTTCGCCTTGCTTACGTGGCCTCTCGGGCCAACGCTGCTGATGTCTTCACCAAGGCCCTTGGGGCTGGTGATCATCACCGTTTTTGCACTGCTTTTGGGCTTGTGCCCACTCTGCCTCACCTGTTGGTTGCTTGACTTGCTCTTGTTGTACACTGCTATATATCTTTATACCTGCATGTTTTCTCTTGCTAGGTTGTGATCAGTGTACTGCCTTGCTATTATATACCTCTGCATGTGAACTGGCCTTGTGGCCACTTGCTTGTGCTCAGAATGCGTGGTGACTTTGTGATCCACCCTGATCTGTGTTCTCTTCTGCAGACTGGTCTTGTGACCACTTGTTGTGTTTGCTGTCCTCTACTTTGCCTATGGGGGTGTGTCAGATTACAATTGTATCTCTAGGCTACAGTAGGGTCACTCCTTAGTGAGTACAACACTTTAGGGTTAGGTTTCCCCTACTTGTACTCACCTCTTGCATAGTTCAATCATCATTCCTAGTTCTATTCTTGACAGAATGGGCAGGCCTAAACGTAGCTCCGCTGCTATGAGCCAGTCTGGTGCGTCAAGCTATGAGCGCGGTGTGGAGGGCACAGCAGTAAGCCAAGCGCCGGCTGGTGGGTCCTGAAGGGAGGTCAAACGGACCAACTGGTGGCGCTGGTTTGCCGCTGCCCGTAGCTGTTCCGCTGCTCGTGCTGAGATACGCTGTGCTAGAGCTGAGAAAAGGCGATTGGGGTAGCGCGCAAAGAAGGCAGACCACCGTGGAACAAGGTGCCGCAAGCAGGGCTAACTTTAGTGCCAGAGCCTGTCTGACAGTAGGACCGGGTCCTGAGTCCTTGTCTGATGGTCAGACGAAAGTTGAAGCCTAGTCTTACGTTTCAGACGAATAAAAAGCACTTGTCAGAGCCTTCAGACGGAATTAGATAGTTAGTCTTATTGCAAGCTGATTTCCTAGCCTACGTAGTTTCTATACTAAAGGTTATGTAACGACATCCTTTCCTAAGAAGAATCAAGCACTACTGCTATCACTGTCATCACTACCACTGCCACTGTCACCACTACCACTGCCACTCTCAGAGGTTTCAACAACTGTGGCTCTGGATTTGCCCTTCCTCCAGGTAGGCAGCTCCCACGCAGCTTCTTCTGCAGCCCTCTCTCTCTCCTTTGATGCAGCCTCTTCTGCCTCTTTCCGTGCGCGTGTAGCTGCTTCTGCTGCTGCTGATGCTGCAGCGCGCTTCTTCAGGTGATGGGACCGCGATCGCTTCACCGGGCGTGATCCTTCAGCCATGACCACCTCTCGAGCCGGCCGCCTCTTCTTGCTGGCATACCACCTATCCACAAGCTCCTCTGTGTTCAGCTCGTAATCCAAAAGGGACACCGTCATCAGGTCGCCCAGTGTCGTGTCGCACAAGCTGCCCCGCACCCAGCTTTTGATGATGTTCTGGCGGCTGAAGCCGCGCTCACACTCAACAGTGCTGAGTGGTAGCACAGCAACAGCTATCCACAGGCGGCCGAGGTTCGGATAGGCTGACTCCCATTCCGGCGTTGAGAGCATCTGCGACAGGCTGTCGTGGAAGGACAGGTCTTCGTGGTGATGGGAGAGGATTGTCGTGAAGCTGGTGAGCTCCTTGGCGGCTTTGCCCCAGTCAACACCTGATGGTGAGGGGTAGGGTAGGGTGTGGGACATCGGATATCATTGCAGAGAGTCAATTCTTGGCACGGCAGCAATAACGCAACAAGTAAAAACGCAGGTTTGAAACAAACCGCTTACCGGGGAGGGTGTCTGGATGGTTGGGCTTCTTCTTGAACAGGTTGCGCAGCGACTCGAGCCATTCGGGAAAACGACGCGCTCTCTTAGCGCGCGAACGAGAGTACCGTCCCTGCCGAAACAGACGGGCCCCGTCCAACGACTTGAGACTCTTCATGCGATCCTCAATGAAGAACACAGTCCTCCCAGCGAACTTAGATGCTGCCTCCACGCACGACGCCAGGTCGCCCCCAAACTTCTCCTTCCCGATCAGGTCCTCGTGCAGCAAGTAGGTGTGAGTCACGGGTTCTCCCGCGGTGTCGATGCTTTCGACCTTCACTTTGCATTGCTCAGTGCTCCCGTGGTTCTTCAGGAACGTCGCAAGACGACCACTGTTGTCGCCGAAGGTGGAGCCGTACTCCACATAGCGACTTGTCAAGATCAACGTGGTGTGCTGCACCATCGGCCGAACCTGCGTCGCATCAAGCTGCACATATTAAAGAGAAACAGAATTAGTCTCGGCTCACGGAAAGAAAGAATGCAAGGTGTAACTACACGTCCTTACCTGTCGTCGCTGGAACTTGAGATTCAGGCTGTTCAGCTCCTGAAGCACGTCAACCAGAAAGAAGAGGAAAAACTGAAACTTGAGACTGGTAACAAGAGTGTACGTTGTCTTGTCGTACTCATGCAGCAGGACAACGGCAGCAGGCAGGACGTCTGCAAAGCGCTGGATGGCGTCCCCGCGCGACAACCAGCGGACGTCCTTAATGCCTTGCATCTCCAGGTTGGTCTCTGTGATGAACTCCTGCAGCTTCTTGAATCGCGCATGCTGCACTATGCTGCGGCCGAGAATGTCCGCGAAAGACCGGACGACTTTGTCGACGACATTGAACTCGGGAAATTCTTCAGCCGCATCCTTAGCAGCCAGAGCCTCCCTGCAGTTATAACACGAGTAGGATTAGTCGGAGGACAGCAAGTGTCAGATACATCACAACAGTAAAAACAACACACTACCTGTGGGCCACGCAGTGGCACGGCACAATATGCGGCACCCGCGTTCGTAATCGCGCCACCAAGCCTGTCTGACCGCCCGTCATCACGCTCGCGCCGTCCGTGGTCATGCCGCTGATCCTTGTCAGTTCGAGGCCGCAAGCAGCAAGGTGTGTCAACAGGACCGCCTCAAGCGACCCGGCGTCGCACTTCTCAACGGACAAGTTCGCGAAGAACTCGGTAACCACCACCGTGCCACGGAGAAACGTGGCATACACAATCATGTGTTTGCCACGCCTTCGGTCGGTGCTTTCATCAAGTTGGAGGCCAGCGAAGGGACTGATGCTGATGTGCTGCATCTGCTTCGCCTTCAAGTAGCACACCAGCGTTTCGACCAACTGCTTGAAACCATACCTGCGTCAACGAGGACACAAAAGAAATGGTAAGTAAGGGGTATTCAGAAACCACAATGATGTGAACATATAAACTCACGTTGAACAATAAGTCCCTTGGTCCTTGGCCGGCATATCTGGCGTCCCCATTTCTGCCATGAACTGCACGAGTGTCATGAACATGACAATGGGGGTGTCGGATTTGCAAAGGAAACGCACGGTGAGAAACAGCTGTATCAAACGCCGAGTTTCCGCACTCTTATCTCCAAAGTTGGAGATAGATGCCCGCCTCTTCTGCGGGGCTTCACGCTGCTCCAATCGGTCCTTCGCCTCCCGGTGCCGGATGCTCCACTGATGCTTCCTCATCGTCTGCTTCTGTATGTCGATGCCTCCCTCGCCCCGAGCGTCGTACTGTGACTCAGGATCTGCGTACACCATGCAGATCTTGCACCTCATGCAAGGTCGACCTTCGGCGGTGTCACCGATGATGAGCCAAGGGAAGTGGCGGCTCCACTGCTGCTTGGCTTTTAGCTGCAGCTCCTCTAGCGACAGAATCTTCGGTCCGGCATTCTCGGACCCGCGGCGCTCCCCTCCATCTTCCTTAGTTGTGGGATTCCCTGCAGAGGAAGGGCTTGGGCGTTTCGAAAACGGAAGCTTATTTTGCACAAATTTGGTCTTGCCAGTAAACCGCGGCGGGAGAAACGGAGAGCGGGATTGGAATGGATTTTTTCTAGCAGGAACAGATGATGCGACAGGTTGACCGGATGGCGAACCCCCATGGTGGCTTGATGTGGTTGGTGATCGCACGGGTGAAAATGGTATGAGCGGCTCGGCATCCATCTCAGCGAAAGGGTACGGCTGCTCGGCAGAATCGAGTTTCTCATTCTGACAGGCCGAAGGAGCAACAGCAGCAGCTGGGACTGGAGTAGGGGTGAAACCCCCCCCCCCGTAAGGAAATCCAAGCCAGTGCGTGGGCGGGGCAACGCACTGGAAGGAGGTGAAGCATGCAGAGTGGATGCTGGAGGGGCCTCTGTGCGGGGGTCTACTGCCATCTCGGTGGAACTATGCACCGACTGGCTCTAGCTCACGAGGGTAAGATGAAAGTCACCTAATGCTGTGGGGAGTGAGGGGGGACCGTCCGAACCGAGCCGCATGCATGAACGTCCTCTTCTCTGCTGGAAGCAGCCACGCCATCCATCCCTCGCTGACCCGACGCGCAGGTGGACCGGTGGTGTTGTCACCGACCTCGGCAATGTACAGCCTGCCGGTGGCATCAAGGTAACGCGGCGGGTGGCTAGTCTCGTCCGTAACTGGCCAGGTGGGCAACTGGCCAGGTGGGGGCATTTGTCTGTTTCAGACGAAAAAAAACTCGATGTCTGCAGTCTCAGACGAATCGTATAAGGCTGTCTGACAAATCAGACGAATAAAAAAAGTTTCTCTTAAAAATCAGATGACATAAAATAGCTTGTCTACGGCATCAGACGAACCAGTAAAAAGGTGTTCAAATTCCAGAAATTCAGACACATAATTTCTGATAAAGTAAGCCCTGGCCGCAAATCTGCCGGAAGGGAAGCGAGAGCGCGGGGTGCCTGCGAGTCTAGGTGTTCTAGGCTGTCGGATGCAATGAATGGGCGTAGGAAATTGTCTCTGCGACCTTGCAGTTCGATGCAAGCACCGGTATGGCTTGTGCCCAGCAGATTGATCTTCGGAAGTATGAAGCCCCGGGACTCTCAGAACTTCAGTAGAAACACTTCATCAGGGTTCTGAAAATTGTTACACTGTGGCCTAAGGGTAAATTTCTTGAAACTATGGAAAACCCTGATGAAAAATACTTTTCCCAGGGGGTCACACTGATAATCAGGGTTTTGCAAAGGTGCAGGACTGATGATAGATGTCAGACAGAATGTGGTTATCAGATGCCCTTGGTGCCTAATTAGTTCAAAGCAGTACTAGCATTCTTGCCCCGCACTGGCAGGCCCGATCCGTGAAGCAATAGTGTGTTGTGTAAGTAGAGCTGCTTCTTGAACCTTGATATTCTGAGCTGATGGACCTGATATCTTTAAATGCAAGGCAGAACGAACTTTATAACTCCTGGTGTGACTGTTTCAGTCACAGATGGACTGCCTCACTAAACTTGAGATGTGTATTGGTGGGCCAAGAAGGAAACAATGGGCATTGCACGATGTCCCACACAGCATCTAAGGGACACTGCGCTCACTGTGAGTCACCGATGGAGACCAACTCCACTTCGAATTCAATTATTTGCTCAGCCAGAGGATGGTTTGCATCAATCACAACGAAGTCCTTGCCAACCTGCAATAAAGAATAAAGCAACTCATTGTCATACGGTACTCACAAAAACTCTGTCAATTTGGTCTGTGGAAAATGATAACTATGGGCTGGTGGAAGAAAGAACTCACCTCTAGAATCTCAGCAGGGCCGCCGTTCGCAAGCATAACGACACCTCCCGCTTTGAGCTCTCCTCCTTGCTCTTTCGTGGGTCTCTGAATCTCCTCATGGTCCTTGGGTACTCGGAAGATCATTTCATCTGTCTTCGCCATTGGTGCTGACTGTACAGTGCGGCTTTGGCCAACAGCCAATCCTTTCACTGCCTCGTCAAAACCCTGTTGTCACGCAAACAAAGAATAACCTGAGTATCCTCCGAATGTGACTGCCTACATGCTGGACCTTAGAAGATGGTTCACTCATTGTCACCTTGAAGAGAGGATTGCCAACGAAGTTCCCAGCACCGACTTCAAAGGTCAAAACGTCATCATCACCAGATGCATGAAGCACCTGCGTTTGTTACACAGCCATGGTGAGGCTCTGGTGAAAGTGTTGGAAATAACATACTGCGATAAGGGAAATTGGAACGAGCTTGAGCACGAACCTCACCATCCAGTGTCTTGCACATGAATTTCACATTCACCATGTCTCCCTCCCGTGCTACCGTTTCGCCTGGCACAAATGTTATGCGCGGGGCAAACGGGAATGCCAAACCGCAGCTTATAAACAACCAGTCAGAGAGGCCAATTCTTCACTCTCCAGTTTTCGACTGCACATCATCTTAAGTGTATCATTTGAACCCCGAATTGAACAGATTTTCACTCTAGCTTGTAAAGCTGCGTACTTTGGATACAGGCGTTCGGTCATAGTTTGGATTCGGGCATTTGGTTGGGTTCTACTCACTGCCGTCGCAAAAAGATGCCCTCGCGCCAGTGCTCCTCCTCAACATTGTTCTGACAGCTCGCGGCTGAGCCTGAAGTGGTGCTGTCCATGCAGCATGCCTGCTAACGCAACAGCTGGACTGAATGCTTCGCAAGCTTATCCTAGAAGAAGCAACTAACACCATAGAAGCTTGGCATTGCAAGGTTGCCATGATGACGATCACGAGCTAGAAGAGCTGATCAGAGGTTCTCAGTCAGGGCAACCGAAAACGCTATCCTGCAACGTCACAGGACAGGGAACGTTTCTGGCAGTGCTAGTGAATATGCTGACAATTGCTAGCAGAGAATTTGAGGAATGCGTGTGGGCTTCGATTCCATCTGCGAAAGTGAACATTGAAGGTGATTCGCCAGGGACAGAGAGACGAGTGTACTTTTCCAGCTTGTTTAGAGGGGATGCTGTAAATCGGCCAGGTGTAACAAACGGCACGATATTACTCCACGTGAATAATCGTACGGTGTTTGCTTGATCACTCGCGGTCTTGTGAAGACGTGGCAAAGGCTAAAACGCCGATTCTTTCCATCTGCTGATTGCTGCCAGGCAGGCGTTCGTTAGTGCCATTACCAGTTTCGTCAGTGTACATGACTTTCGCAAGCTTCCCGCATTTCCTATCTCGAGGCAACCTGTTCGGGAATAGCGAAGCAAAAGTCGTAGGGGTGTCTGCTGTAAATTTCCAGCTAATCTGCCGACATATTCCAAGCATATTAGTGAAAGGCGCTGTAATCTTTACACGTAGGAGACATTTTACAGGAGTCATTTTCACGGACTACGGTGCGCTGCTGTGGATAGGGCGCAACAACGACACCAGTATCCCGACTTCTCGCGCATTTCATTGGTTGCTACTGCGGTCCTAAACACCGTGCCTCACATTCTCGCTCGACCTCCGTTACGATGGCGACAACCATGATCAATGCCGTCTCGTTTCCAGCCGCTCCTCCCGCACAGCTGGCGCGCAGCGGTGGCGTTCGGCTGAGCAGCCACGCTACTTTCAGCCGAACGACATCAAGGTTCCTTTTATCGCGCAAGGCTATTCGATCCAGCCGTAGGACCAATCAGAGCATTTTAGTATCATCAGCGTCCTCTAACGCTGCAGACATCACTGGTCGACCCAGCGACAGCCAGGCAAGCAGCGATTCAACTTCCGCGTCCCCACCGACCCATGAAGACGGACCTTCCCCTGCGCCTGCAGCGGAGTCGCCACCTCCGTCAGCGTCCTCAGCGTCGTCAACTCCGTCAATTCCGTCAGCTCCGTCAGCGTCGTCAACTCCGTCAGCTCCGCCATCGAAGCCGTCGTCGCTGCTTGGTCTGGTCCTGTCCGCGGGGCCGCCGGGGTCGTGGGACAGCAGCGGCGTGGGGAAGGCCGTCGTGCGCCGCTTCGCGAGCGATAACGAGGAGCGCTGGTTCATGTGGTACGAGGGGTGGACCCATGATGACACGTCAGCAGAGACGGGCGGCGATGGTACAAATGGAAATCAGGAAGGGGAGGATTCCACGGTTCCGCCTGTTTCCGTTCCCCCTGTCTCCCGCGCGCGGACCGGGGTGGCGGTTTCCGCCAACGGGCTGCACTGGAGCCGGGGAAGCGGTGTGGCGGAAACTGACGCCAAGGGACGTGGGGGGCCAGGAATGGTCCTTCAGCCCAGCGCCAACTGGTGGAACTTCGACACACGTCACGTCAGCGTGTCTGACGTCATGATGATGTCATCGCAGAAAGTCCGCGCCAGCGGCGGCGTCCTGTGGATGTTCTACGTCGGGGGAAACGCGGAGGAACTCCCCATCCCCGCGCGGATCCTCCCCCTGCTCCCCCCGCGCCTCGCCCCCGCTACAGTCACACCACCCACCGGAGCACCGCCCGCTGCGCGTGACTTTACCGAGGGGGAGATCGTCGAGGGGCTTCGGACGCGCATCGGCCTCGCGATGAGTCACGACGGGCGGAACTGGGCGCGCATCGAGGGGGATCACCACAGCGGCGCGGCGCTGGACGTGGGCGCGGAGGGCGAGTGGGACGAGTTATTCCATGGCGCGCCGCAGATCGTGTTTCACGAAGCCGGGGATATCCGGCTCTTCTATCACTCCCTCGATCGATCCGCCAAGGGGGATAAGACGAGCGACAAGGGGGACAAGGCGAGCGAAGGGAAGTTCCGGGTGGGGTTTGCCCGCTCGCGCGACGGGCTGAAGTGGGTTAAATTCGGGCCGGTGTTTTCTGGGAGCAATGGGGAATTCGCGTTTGACGCGCTCGGGGTGACGTCACGGTATGTGCTGCGCGACCCGCGGGCGTCAGCAGGGGGAAGCGGAGGGGGAGGCGCAGCGGGGAAAGGCGGGAAGGAGGATGCGCGCAAGTACGTGATGCTGTATGAAGGCGTCGCCGCGGACGGATCGACGGCCATAGGACTCGCAGAGTCGGAGGATGGGATGAGCGGATGGAAATGCCTGGGACCTATTTTTGAGCCAGCCAGGGGAGCCCGGGGGAAGGCGGAAGGGGAGGGAGATGGGAGCGGAGCCGGGAAGAGCGGGGGGGAATCGGGCCCGTGGGATTCGTGGTCGGTGGGATCGCCGTGTTTGGTGGATCTGGGCGGTGGGCATCTGCGACTGTACTATGTGGGGTCGGATGGGCGGGGGTTTCAAGGCGTTGGGGCGGCTGAGTCGCTGGATGGGAGCTTTGAGTTCGAGCGGTGTGCCAATCTCGAGGCTCTTTTGTAGGGTCACAGTGGCTTTGGCGGGTGGTGCAAGGAAAAGGCTCTCTTGCTTTTTTAGCCAATGAGGTAGCACATACGGTACCTTGCAGTGCGTGGTGAGAAGTTAGTTCATCAGGAGGAGAGCACGAACATATTCTACCACCAGATTTTAGCAGTCCTGCAAATGCAGCTAAGCTAAAGGTAGTCGGTGCAATCACAAGGTTCAGTAGAGGTGAAACAGTTTGGGGGTAGTGCCAGCATTCGTCTATGCAGGATACCTACTGCTGGCTCTAGCTTGGCGTTTCTGTGTCTGTTCTGTGGATCAGAGACTCAGAGTCAATGCCAAGGCATGCAGTAGCAGCAAATGGAACATATGTATATTTTTAAAAGCTGTAACGCTTTTCAAAATTATGTATTTTGAAAGCGAAGCTGCTTGTAATGTAGGATTTGGCAGCGTCGAGCCGCGCTAAACGCCCGTTTTGGAGTACAAAACGTGGGCTGGAGGTCATTTCCCTCCACCCACGTCTCTCATTTTCAAACGGTTTAGCCGATTTTCATTCTCAACTCTCGTCTCCCACTCTCAAGCTGGCGAAGTTGAAGTCTCTTCCCCGATTTCAATCCCCGTCGACTTTACTCTCTGACATTTTCGCTCACAACGCAGCAACCATGGCACTTAACGACGGCGAGGGTAATACCGCTACCGCCTCTGTTCGACCCGAGTCCGGAAGAAACGCACGCGAAATTGCCGGCGATCGTCCTAACAAGCGTCGGGCAGACGACGGGGAAATTTCCCCGACTGGCGTCGACGTACTGCTGGGCGCGACCGAGGCTCACGCCCCTGGAGTCGAGGCACACGCCCCTGGAGTCGAGGCACACGCCCCTGGTGTGCCTCGAGCCCCTGTGGCCCCTCAGGCGCTGGCCGCGACAGAAGGCGCCAAGTCGGCGCCAACCAGCGCGGCTGGCACCCCGCGTCCGCGTCAGCGCCGCAGGCCCGTGGGCCCTGACGCGCCTGTGGGCCCTGACGCGCCTGTGGGGCCTGACGCGCAAGTGGCGCCAAGCTTCACTGCAGCCCAACTGCAGCAGCTTTTGTCCCTGTTACAGCAGCAGGCCCCTGCTGTTACGGAAGAAATCGCTACACCGAACACGACTTCCGTTTCTGCTAAAAGCGAAAAGGCGAAAACGGAGTCTGTGAAGCGCGCTCGCACGACAAAAACCGGAAGGGGCGAAGACACACGCGCCGCTGCCGCTCCAGTCATGAACAACCCCATCGACAGCGACAATGAAGACGACGACGATGGTGAGGCACATGCCTTAAATGCCGCTTTTGCACCCGTTGAGCAACTCCCCCACTCCCGTCTCCCAATCCCACTCTAACCGCCGCTTCGTTCAAGAACGCCGCCGTGCGCGAGCAAGCCGAGGTCCTGGAACACCTGCGGGCATACCTGAAGCATGCAGAGCACAAGGTGCGACACAACGAGCCGGAAAGCGCCCTCGAATACCTTGGCGAAGCTTTCATACTTATCACCAACCGCTTCAAGCTACTCCACGTCGCCGACTACACCAACTTCCGCACGGCAAATCGCTTCAAGCTCTACGAAGATAAGAGCGTCTTCACATCACGCCCGTTCAAGCAAGCCGTCGCGGACGTGGCGGCGATGGAGCGCGCACAAGGCAATTTCAACCGTACCCCACGTGGCGGAGGGCGCGGGCCCATGGCATTTGGCAACAAGCGCGGCCCCCCATTTGACGGCAATGGAAGGAGCTTTCGTGGCTCATGCTTCCGTTGTGGGCAGCCAGGCCACATGGCCAATGCTTGCCCGGAAAATGGGGGAGGAGCCCAAGGGCCGGCACCGGTGGTGTGAACGCCCTAGGGGGCGGTGCCGAGAGGCTTGAATGGAGATGATGGCACTAGGGAGTGCAAAGGCCGCTGGCCTATCCCATAGGGGATGTTAGAAAGGCCGCGGGCCTACCCCAAGGCAAGGGGTGTAGGACTAGGAGTCCTAGGTGAACATGTGATTGCAAGTAATGCTTGTATGCTCTTTTGAATGAATGGGAAGGCCTAATGGGCAAAGTTGTTGGACTCGCTTGAAAAAAAAAAAAAAAAAAAAAGGAGCATGCGCTCTTGAGGTGTGGAAGAACCTGAAGCGGGGAACACCTATACGGCATGGAAGCCTACGGTACATGCGAACAAGAGAGAAAGAGATAGAGAGCAAAAAAAAAAAAAGGGAAGTGGCAAGATGTGCGGGCTATGCAAGCCCTGAAATGCAAAGGAATCACGGGTGAAGGGGGGGGGGGGGGGGGGGGGGGGGGGAAGGAAAAAAAGAAAAAAGGAAAGAGTGGGTGTGGGACTTGGGGTCCCATGATGCCAAGAGCACACGCCATAATGCAAGACAAAGGGTGGCCTACCAAACATGGAAGGCAGCAAATGGCCATCCGAAGAGCATGCGGCACGTGA